TTGTGCTGGCATTTCATGGCTCTTAAGACATGTCTAGTGTCTGCTGTTGAGTGTGTAACCTACACAATGGTTCTAAAAAGGTCTCTCAAATGTGTATTGTTATTTTTCCTTAAAGCATCCACGTGATGCTCTAGTGCCCCCAAACTTGCTAACCCACCACTGATGTGAAGACAACACAGGTTTGTGAATTGCTGTCTGCCCTGCTTGCAGTTTAGTGCCATAGGGAGCTGGCACCTCTGCAACGCGTTTGAAATATATGTGATTTTGCAGGGAGTCGACACAGAGATCCTGTTTCTGTGCAGTTTTTGTGTATATTACAGACAGAAGGTGTTTGTTGTTTTCTTCTTATCCAGGTAATAGAGATCAAACTTGTATGTCAGCAGGCATGGATTTAATGATTAACTTTTTAATGGCAGATCCTGTATCTGTAGTCTACAATATGTGTTATCCTGACTTGCTGTATATATTCAGGTATTTTGTTGGTTTTAATAGCTGGTCTGTGAGGTCAGATGTTTGTACACACAGGAACAGAGCTCCTGGTGTTTGTCTTCACCTTGGTAGTCGGTTTTCTGTCCCCTTCTTTACATTCTGTTTGTTTGCTGCCTGTATCAAAGAGGTGGAAAGACGGAAGAATATTTGACAAAAATCTCTGTGGAATAGATGCTGAAATGCACTTATGAGGGCTAAGTACAAATCTTATCTTTTCTGCTGCCTGCAGCAGGTTTCAATAATTTTTAATTAAAAGTTAGAGCCCAATATTGGTGCCTTTCTTAAGGAGTCGGCATTACGTTTCTGTCCACAGTGCAACTGGGCACCTGTTTCAGAGATAATTTTTCCATTCTGCTGTGAAGAAAAAACTAGATCATATCCCTGCATATATGGCTTTGCTTTTGTTAGCAGTATTGGTAATTCACTATTCTATAAGATGGCATGGTGCTTAAATTTCCATTAGAACAGAGATAATGTCTACCTCATACAAAATGATAGCAGAATGAGGTAAATGAGGTAAGGAAAGTGGGAGTTAGATCCACCCTGATGTATCGTAGATAGCAGAGATATAAAAAATATACTGATAAAAGTCGATTAAAATGAAAAATTGATTCCGTTCACTCTAGTGAAGGAGAACGGCTAAATGAAAAAGAAACTTAAAATGGAGAACAGGACTCATACAGCAATTGCTGATTTTGAGTCCATGCTATCATAGAATGATGGAATAGTTCAACTTGGGGAGACCCTTTAGCCTTACTCTTTTTTATTTTCATTTTAAAATCTTTTCCTTTATTTTATTTATGCTCAGAACGAATTCCTTTGACAGACTAGCTGTGATCATAGTACATCCTACAGAATTTCACTGTGCAATATAAGGAGGAATTTTACTTTATGATTTCTGATCGCCCAGGTATAGCACCTCTAGCACCCACATTTATATGTGGCGGGACATAAATGCACATATCTCTTCCCCATTACAGTCTGTAAATTTCTCAGGGGTTGTTGCAAGGTCAAAACTAGATCAGGAGAAAAGCTTCTAGACTGAGATCAGGATCTAAAGAGGACAAATATGAATCAAAGAAGGAAAAATTAGGAGAGAATAATACAGAGCAAAGGCATAGGTCTATAGTAGACACCCATGGCGACATCCACATTATTTGTTTGCCACTTGATTCTCACCAAGAGGCTCTTAACTGTGCCATTACAGATCCATACATTCCAATGCTGCTCTTACATAGAGTGCCACCCACCTGCCTCTTCTGCCCTGCCTTTCCTTCCTGAAGATCCTGTAACCATCCAACAGGGATGTCACAGGACTTGTCCCACCAGTTTCACTGATACCAATGATATCAAGTCTCTGGCACTGGGCAATAGCTTCCAGGTCATCACTGGTTGTTCCTCAAGCTGCATTTATTAGTATAGAAATATTTTGACATGTGGTACTTCGTAGCCAACACTTGTGAAGCAGATTGAGGTATCCCAGTAGTGCTCCTTTCCTCATGTTTTGGCACACAATCCCACTGTTCATCACTGGCCAGCCTGGTATTTTCCCATTCCTCTTCCCAGAATAGTTTAAAGCTCTGTCAAAGAGCTGTGCTAGCTCCTGTGCTAGAAGTCCTTTTCCCCTCTGAGAAAGGCTCATCCTGTCACGTGTCAGTAGAGAAGGTGTTGAATACATCACCCCACAGTCAAAAAACCCAATTTTTTTTTTTTTTTGCTTACACCAGCCTCGGAGCCATGCATTGACCTGACGGATCTTCCAATTCCTACCAGTAAAATTCCTTGTTACAGACAGGTCAAGGAAATCACTACCTGTGTTCCTGATCCGGCAACCCATTGTCCCAAGGGCCTGGAGTCTCTGTTGATTGAGAGCACTGTGTTGGATGAGTTTGTTTAAAATCTTTATTAGTAAAAGCTTTTTCTTCAGAGAGACATCCTTCTGGATCTTGTCCAGGCCCAGGAGGACCAGCAGTGACACCAGCACATGAGGTGAGTTCCTCATTCTCTTCTCCTTGTGCCCCACAAGCTGAGGTGCTGCTTGAGAAGGGCCCGGGCCAGGAGA